TCTGAGTAAGTATTTTCCAAGTGTGGAAAAATATGAAATATATAAAAAAAAATTGTTGGGTTCAAAGATAATTATGACGACTGGTGACTGCAGCACCTTGCCGAAATGTTTTTCCGTCTGTGCGTTATACTATCACTTGAAGCTAAGGAAAACTGTCTGTAGAAACAAGAGCTCAAAGCTATTTAAATCGCCCATGTGAGAATCTGGATTAACCCTCATGCTACATATTTAACATACAGTGACTACTAAGACCCCAAGAATTACCTACGTGAGAATCAACAATAAATGCAAATATTAACTTATTTCTTCTACAGGATGTTCAGAATACTAGAATAACAGATGCATTTTCTTTTGCTGATTTATGGAAATTATGTTAAAGTTGTTGCTACATTTAGATGGACACCTGTAGACTGTCACTTAAAATTGTGTGTATTTAATCCAAATAATAACGAAATAAAGATTTTAATTAAATTATACCTCATCCCAGTGCAAATAAACAAGGTGCTCTGGATTTGATCTGAGAAACTTCTATGGAACAAAGCGTGCCTCTTACATTAACAAACAATTGAACACGAACTTAAGCCCCCTGCTATGTTAGGAGGACACACAGAAGCTGTTGTTTCATGACAGAAACCCGGGACAGATAATCATCTCTGAATCCCTCCATCTCTACACCCAGCCCCCGATACCCTCACCACCGCCATCTGCTACGGGGGTTGGGCTGTCTGGTTTCCATGGCAACTCTGTACCCCTCCTCCCTATAGGCACTGAGGTTTCTTTTGTGTGTCCTGCGCACGTGCAGTCTGTTCCATCTGTACCCCGTCATATAGGTGCTCATAATGACAGTGTAGCCTATTTTTACACCATCATGCAATAAAGCTACTACAGATTACATGCTTTGGAGAACAGGAAGGACTCTGTCTAATGTAAAGATATTACTAAAAAAGCATGGAACGTCACATCAGCCCCCCTCCCCCATACAAGACAAGGTGACCTTGCAAATTAAGCCCACCCACCCCCTTTTCACCCCAATGCCTAGTCACGCTGCCCCCCTCTGTCCCAAGCAAGGGATAGAGAGCAGTGAACCAGCAAGGAAGAGCAGTAAACCAGGAAGACAAATGCTGAGACTGCACTCAAGAAACATGTTAACCACTCTTGAAAACTAAAAAGTTTGCCCACCAAAAAGCTACTATTTGAAAAGAGGATTACAACCTAAAGAACACTTTACTAATCAATGACCTATTGTTACATCTTCTCTTTTGCAGTATCATCTAATCTTATACTGTATGATGCTATATATTTTATCTTACTTTAAAATTAAGCACTGTAAACTTTCTCTGGTAAAGTCAGCATACTGTATATGCACATAATAAACATCAGACTTACAGATGCTTTTGTGTGCCAGGGTTTTAAAAAAAAAAACAGACTTCCAAAGTTTTTTCATTCCAAAAGCAATTTGTGGCCACAGTAATTATATTGACTTTCTTTGGCATGCATGCCACTAACACGTCTGGCTATTGCTGTAATATATATGGGACTGTAGGCGTGATAAACACCGCCTCAGCATTCGGAGGGCTGAACACTTAAGCCCTGTAAATTATCCATAATGTTTTTTTCTGTTGGGATAAAGGCCTCTGTGAGATGTTGTCCAAAAGTTGCCTGAAAACAAGTCCTTCTGTATCTGTTGAATTTGGGGCTTGATCTGTTCCAATCGTGCAAAACCTTATTAGGCACTATTTGGGATACACTCCTAAACAACACACAGATGGAAAGCATTAGTGTTGCTGGCAGGAAACTCTACTTCTCTCTTGAAGCCTACTGTGAATTAAAATGTAACAATGTGGGCTAGGTTTTCTGTTGAACTTCATTATTCTGTGTCCAATGAATAATTGCCTTAAACCCTACAGGTGCAGGTAGATTACTACCTGGTCATCATGTGTATCTTTTGGATAAATGGTCCAAAAGTTTACATGCATGGTTAAAGAAAGAAAGGGCTAAATGTAGCCATAGAGACTGGACAAATTAAAAAAGTAATGAGGGTTTTAACAGCTAGGCTGTAAGAGAAAACAAATTCCTTTCACAACGAACAGACGGCTGATCATTTTTCTTTAAGTAACGTTGGACGGTTGCCACGTTGAACTTGTGCTAATGCCATTTAATAAAATGAGTAACGCCTATGTGCATTTCCCTGGATGTGTTGGCAGGGAAACTCCCTCAAGAATACATGCTAAAAAGATTAAAACCAGCAGCAGCATGCAGTAAGCATTTCTGTTAACTCACAAAAACAGGAGTGACTGTCCCTGAGCATTTGTTTGCTTGAGTGCTTTATAAACTCTGCAAAGATGTTGATTGTATAGAGAGAAAGAAAATCCCTTCAACAATTTGAACTTTCCTTCAAATTGCATGTGTGTATGCGACTTGTTCCTTTGGCAGGAAGGCAAACAAGGGGATGATTCACAGTGGGTCAGGTTAAGAAACAAACAAGAGGGCATGTCTTGAGCAAAACCCTTTCACCTCTATGGAAATGTTGCAACATCCTATCTGTGGAGCTGTCACTGCAAAGGATGTCAGTTAGAAAAGGAACTGCAAGTAGGCCTACAGAAATGTTTTTGGTGGGAAACACAAAAGTAGTATGGAGAAATGTCGAGTAGCAAACAAGTTGTGAGGGTATAAAGACATGCTATTTATGTTTAAAACCTCTGACGCCCACATGGAAACACTACAACAATAGGAGGTTTAAGTGTCTCCAATTGGGAAAACACAGGCCATTGGAGAAAACGCTAGATTGTATGTCATGTATCAGCATTTACACAAAGGGACGTTTTCCGATTAACCCTTTCAAATTCGCCTACTTCGGAGGGTGTTTCTGAAAATATTAGTTTCTGGTTCTGACAACATAGCATGGATGGAGGAAATCCAATGGTTTTCTAAGAGTGTGGGAAATAATGGTTTCATTTGAACCCTTTCAACACTCTGGATGCAAGCTTGGTCCGAACCGTTAGTCATAAAACGATTCCTAACATGAATAGCACCACTCCCATTCGCAATGTGTCACCTCTAAAGACGCTTTTATTTCAAAATGCACTACTTTTGCAACATATAAGCCTAGCAACCGATGATAACAAACCCCCACATCGAATACTTTGGAAAACAACACTTACCCCATTTTCGTTGGTACATAGCCTAGCCTGTCCTGTTCTATAAATACAGTATTGGATTGATTACACCACAACACGAAATAAAGGAAGTGAAAAACAGCCTTAGGTTCAAGAGTCTATTGCAATACATTAACAATGGGAACATCGTTGTCCTATAGACACAGACAATCTGACTGGCGCTTTACCCTTATGTGTATTCTTAAGTGCATGTTGATTTTCAGCTTTATATCTACATTTTAAGCTCATGGTCTGAAGGAACCACAAGGCTGGGCTACTCTGAGCCTCCAGATTATCTCCCTCTGTCATTAGGACTGTGGTTTACCAGGGCACCCCACATTACACCCCATGAATAAAAGCATGCTTGTGGTTCACAATAGAGCCCCGTTGCTCCCTGAGAAGGGGGAAGGGCAATGCATTCCTCTACTAACCTCATGTTTGCAGCAGATATTAAACAATATCTGCTGGTTATCATGTGCTTTCCCCAGCCAGCTCAAAACAAATATGACACAAATACCACAATTTCCCTATCTTTGGAGCCCAATCGCTACAAGGAATGTGTGGAAGTAGAGTCTGCTTTGTCTACGTTTTTTGCTTGTAGGTGGGTCAGCAATGGAGACTGGCATTTCAGGAGAGCTGGGCAAAACAATGTGATCATTCAATTTGAGTGACTACCTGGTGCTGACTGGATGCCTGCAATATTTAATCGGGGGAACCACACATTTCTCATTTAGGTCACTTCTCTGGGGAAAATGCAGTGTAAGCCTGAAATTCAACTGCTTAAAGGAAATATAATTTTTGATTGAGTGTTTAGCTACCAAACTGCAGATGGTGGATGCCCCTTCTTCTTCTTTCTTGGCCACAAGTTCACATTTTGCTGAGTAAAGGCGACTGACTTTGTGATTTATGACACTGCTGGCTTAGACCGCCTCAAAATTCAAAACATAAATCCTGGCTTAAAATAGAATCAACACTATTTTGTCGTCTATTAATGAGCATTTTTACATGAAGGAAGTAGCTTCAAAGGGATTCTAAGCGGGGTCAAGGAAACACACGTGCTACCCTTGCCAAAGAAAGTGTGACACGGAGGAAGGGGCCTCACGATGGCAACAACTTCCGAACATCTGCGTCAGCAGGAAGGGGGGCACTCAGTATGTTGTTCCACATCCCAACAGAAACAAAGGTTAGATGGTGATAGAGCGGCTGCCCGACAGACCACACAAACTCAACACCATGTTTGACTTCACCTGCTGCTAGGAGCCATGTGGGCTGATTTAGCAGATAACAGGTCATGACATGAATCACATCTTAAGCTTTTTTTTCTGATGGAGTGAAAGATTAAATTGTTTGCTTTCTTTGAGAGTCACACTCATCTCTCAAAACCCACCTGTTCAACACTGCATTCAATCACTGACCACCCACCCCCTCTTTTCTGTTTTTGTTTATCTGTTTTTGTATTTTTCTTTGTTTTTCTTTGTTTTTTTGTTGTTTTTATTCTCTGTCAAAGCTTCTTTGAGTTTTTAGAAAAGCGCTATATAAGTCCCATGTATTATTATTATTATTACATCAAGTATAAAAAAACATATTGTCTTTGAATACCTAACATTTTAATATATTTTTCAGTAATTATTTGTCTTTAATCTTTGTTCATCGAACCCTTCTTGGTTCAAATGGCAGTGACTCAGAGTTTTTGTCAGTATCTGAATCCAGGGAAAAGTTCTTTGGATTGCATCAAGAATGCTGGCAGTGGATCGTTTTCCTCCACTCTGCGCAGACAGGGGGTGGGGTGCTCGGCTGAAACTGGGAGGAGAAAAGGGGGGGGATTTCGGAATAGTCTTTGTCCTCACCCCGCAGTACAACACACAACTGGAGAAGCAAGCGGGCTCCTCGCAGAAAATAAAAACTGGATGGGTTGATATTAGAGCGAGGGCTTTATTTCAAAAAAGAGAAAACGAAGGAAAAGCTCTCGAGACAAGCAGCAACCCCAAAGAGCCGGTGGGAAAAATACAGGAGCCGAAATCACAACTGAAGGTAAGACCACAAACAAATGCGCAAACGCGGCAACATCATTACGTAGCGTTTTAGCTAACAATTATACCATGGCTCAAGTTGCTATATCTTTAACTTTTGAGCCGAGCAAATACGTGTTCTTATTAAGATCCTGTGGTTATTTATTCATTTTAACAACCAATGTGTACAACAGGAATACCACAAACAGGGTTGGCAAATGTATCGTTAAACAATAACTTAAGTTCACTCGCACAGGCTGGCAGATATATCGTTAATTAAAACACGAAAACGAGTCACATTATGTGGAATAATTTGAATTTGAAGCGTTTTTGGCTCAGTATTGATGGTCATTACCGGCACGTGTGGTGTAATTCTGCTGGTATGCTGAACATTTGGGTATTGTTTTATTTCTTGACTATGAAGCCTGGATTTGGGGATGGAATAGCGCGCATGGGTCGTGTCTTGTTGTTTCCCCCCTTCTGAAATGCGTAATATACCGGCAAACTCATATTCTGGCAAAATAGCCGCATTTTAAGCTTAAACACTACTCTAACTCCTAAATGGTGAGTTTTTCAAACGATGTGTCGCAGCTGTTAACAGTTAGCTCAATTATCCATGGAAATGTTTGTGAGCAGCATGTGGAGTCGCGCGGTGACGCTGTCCCGTTAGCCACGCGGAGGATTTCTGTCTTAAACTTCGTGCACATTTGGTTTTATTTAGTTCCATATTTTACATTGTAGTCTTGTGGTTTTTAATATATATTTTGTATTTGTTCCATGACTACCCTTTTTTCTGTCTCTTTTTTTATTTATTCCAGACATTACACAATTATGACTAACAAAGATACAAAGGGCGGATTAGTTGATTTGTTCCTAGTGTTGCCACGACAGTCCAGTAAAAGTAATTTCCCAGTTTGACTCATTTTCTTGTCTTTTCCTTCGGCATATTCCTCCCTAAGCCCAGGGCCTCTTTAGCTTTAGGGCTTTGGGATAAGGAAGGGATAACCATAACTAGCCTCCCAGATGTGAGAGCCACAAAAGCCTCTCTGTTCTGTAGGACTCGGTCAGTGTGGAGAAGCTGCTGCATTACTTTAGTCCATACTTAGAAACAGGCTGTTTTCTTTGGAGTGCCACATTAAGCTAGGGCTGCTCCAGTAGATGGCCATGGAATTGATATAATAGACACATGCAAATCTGATTAGGAATACAAACACTTTATCATGTTGCCATTAAAGGAGCACTTAGTTCAACACTGGATTTAACATTTGTTGAATATGGTAATGTCCAGTCAAATTGAAAAAATGCCAATGTCTACTTAATAAGTAATTTCAGCTTGGCGAATAAGTGACAAGACAGTTTAATTTAGAAATCAAAATGTCTGGGGGTAGCCTAATGCATGTATCAATTATCATCAAAGTATATCAACAAGGCTAGTTTGTGGGGGGGAAATCATTTTGCTCATTATTAGCTAACGAGTGTCTGAATTGGCATTAGCCTAAACGCATCAAGTATCTGATGCTATAGTAGCCACAGTTCTCTGAAATTGCCTGGATGAGATGCATGCGTAGCCACTTTGATTTGAGTCAGCCATGAATGAAATATGATTCTAGCTTAATGTATTTGCCCCCAGTGCTGTTGTGCAAAAAACGTTTTTTTCAGTTCCTTTACTGACGGCACAAGTTGGAACAGACATTGTTTGCACTGTAGGCAAAAATGGTAGCACAGTGCTACCAGGGGCATTAAGGCAGAATAGCAAGCAACAACCTATTGAACAGGTGTCTGTGAAAATTGCAAATATAACATTACAGCCTTTAGCTTAGCAGTATAATACTATTGTTTTCAATGCAGATTTGACACACATTCTCTGACAGATGCTGCATGTGAGCCTGTGGTTTTCCTTAGGCATGGATGTCAGCTTGACAGTAGCCGGAGGCATTTCGTAACCGTTAACCCAGATTACGACCCAACTGTGCTGCTGAATCATATACATGACATGTCCGTTGTAGCCTGACAGAGGAGCAACGTAGTTAACATTTTACATGATTTAATGACCATATGATGCTAGAATATAGCTTAAGAAACTACTTGCAGACTTAGATTTCCCATGTTTAACATTTGAAGTTGGTCTAAAATGTACCCACATTTTTTTTGTTTGACATAAGCTTCATTTGTGTTGGCCTCTGGTTTCAGATAACTTGATGTAGGAAAGTGGGTTTGAGTGTACCTGGGATGCAGTAGCATGCAATGCAGGCAGCAGTGCATGAAAGCCACAGATGTAAGATGATAAGGGAAGTCTTTGTGATCTGTAAACAGGCAAACATCATAAAAGCAGCAGGTAAACAACTTTGCTGGGACATTTTGTGGAGAAACATGCAGGAGTTAGTCTCCCTGCAAGCTGACTTTATTGGTGAAAACAGGACCACATATGCAATCCATACAATAGTAACTTTCTCATACTGTCTTTAACGCATAGATTTAAAGCCAATGAGTCAATCATGAAAGTGAGTCTCTTACAGCTGGCCATTCATCAATTCTTCTTAGTGCCTGCGTGCGGCTGCCACCCAAAGGAAACATGTTGTTCTTTATTTTTTTATGTTATGTCCATACAGTACTCTCATTCGCACCCTGAGTCCTGCATACTTACAATTCTTATTACAGATCTCTCATGAAGCACTAGGAGGTAATATATCATATGCAGGGGCTTGTCAGTGCTAGTTTATGGGATTATCAGACAGTACATGCTCTCTTTGCCTTACTTGACTTGAGTTATTGATTTATTTTCCCCCCCTCTGCATTCCTTAAATGCATATTGACAGATTTCAAGTTCACTGCTGCTGTTTACTTCTCAGTCCCTCATTCACATTCATTACTATCACTAAAAACAACTACTTTTCATTTGTGTTATCTACATGGTTTGGAGCGTTACACACTTAAAATGTATTCAGATACCATTACTTATTAGTCGGTAAACTAATCCATGTATATCACTACTAAAGTCAAACTCGAGAACAGATTACCGTAGCTTTTGGGTTACCCCAATACAAAATAAGCAAATCAAGACGAGAGAAAGCCACTAACATTTAGACAACTTGTATTTAACCGATAGTTTTGATATGTTTTTCTATAGGTTGCAGTGTTATTTAAGGCAACACTGATGTTTAGTGCCTGAGTAAGGAGCAAGATAAAAGTATAAGTAGGAGAAGTATTTATCTTATCGTGGTGGTTACCCAAGATTTGGCTTCATTGGCAGACAAGGAAACGTGTAGCCAGACTTCCATATGGGTCCATAAGCTTTTTATTTTGTTAAGTAACAAAATAAAAAAGTATAACTAAACCCCATTGTACATGGCTCTTAAATGGTACTTTGTTAAGATTGCTATACACTTCATAATGCATCCCCCCCCCAAAACTGTCAATGTACTTTGGTGTTGTTCCACTTTCTTGTTGTACATACAGAATAGTCACTGGTCTTTGTGAATTGCAGAGCTACGGATGGGCTTTGTTTTGTTACTAGCTTGATTTTAAATGTGACATATTAACCCAGGCTATACTTGTTGGGCTGTATATTTCTTCAAGATGCATTTTGTGGTGCAGTTGGTAAAACATTGAATGTAACTGCTTTTGAAGCCACGGAAAGGCAAGAAAACCTTCAATATGATGGTTGTCAGAGCCATTTAAACCTTACAGTTTCTTGGTTTTACATTGTGTTATGGATGCAGTTTAAGATGTGCTTTTCTTAAAAAGGTAATCTCTTTGATAGTTTGGTTGTCACAATTGCATCTCTTATTCGGTTAGTTGTGTTCCTTGTTTTTCCATAGCCCTGAACATTGTGTGGCAATGTTTTGTTATATAAGGTTTAAGATCTGTATACTGCCCTAAGAAACTACCAAACATTTGTTGATGTCAAAGACAACTAAAGTAGAGAAATGGGTGTTGAATGTTAGGTTGAGAGAATGGTAAAATCTTCAAAGTCAAAAACAAACTGCTGTTACTTACTTGGTGCATGCCTGATGGTTTATAGTCGTGGTTAATTACTTTGCAGAAGTTATGAGGTTGGTCACAGATGGTGTGAAACCACAGGAGCTCCTCGCCCTTTCGTATTTTACCATCAGCTCATTACTCAGTTTTGGCAATCTTAGATGGGAATAATCAACCATGACTAGACATTTCACACCTTCTGGTTCCAACGTGTTTGCCTCAAGCTCATAATGATTTTTTCTTTATATGCCTCAGTCCCCCTGCTTACATGATTTTACTTCAGTCTTTTAATGGCAGTGTGGTTGCACAATTCTGTGACGGCATCTGAGAGCAGCTCAGAGCTGTTTGTCTCAGCATGCCTTATGTCAAAGCATAGCAGTGATGTTTTGAGTCTCACATTTTTGAACAGTGACACAATAGCTCCACCTCGTGGCTAAATGGAGCAAAAAACATAGTCAAAACTTGGGTTCAATCAAGCTTAAAATGTTTTGTCTAGCACATGATACCCAAATCTTGTGTATAGAAACATTCACCAATGAAATACATAAAACTATACCAAGAGAACTACAGATGAAAATAGGTGGCATCAGAACTTATTTTATCTGCAATGGGGGGTGGGAGGGGGAACTGATTCAAATAATTATAAAATGCTTAATATTGCAGGTGATGAGTGTAAAGATAATTACAGTTTAAGTGGCTAAAAATATCTGATCTTAATTTTGTCTCCAGAATCCTGGTCAACTTTTTTATTCTAAGCAAAACTGTAATCTCAATAAATACAAACATGATTCTAGTGTTAATGTCTGTTTAGTTTAAATCACATTTATTTTGTAAATCGCTGTTCATGTGGCTTGGACATACTTACCAGTTTAAGAACACTTTTCTGTAATTTATCGTTAATGACGAATAAATATTTAAAAAAATTGTGATTGTACTTGTAAAAAAAAATTAGCCCTAACCACAATTTTCTCCTTTTCAGCACAGGTTTAAGAGGATCCTTCCTGTTCCAGATCCAAAATGAGTTGGAGCTTCCTTACGCGTCTGTTGGACGAGATTTCCAACCACTCCACCTTTGTAGGCAAAATCTGGCTCACCCTCCTCATCGTCTTTCGCATCGTGCTGACCGCTGTCGGGGGCGAGTCGATCTACTACGATGAACAGAGTAAATTTGTGTGTAACACACAGCAACCTGGTTGCGAAAACGTGTGCTACGATGCGTTTGCGCCGCTCTCGCACATTCGCTTCTGGGTGTTTCAGGTGATTATGATCACCACGCCCACTGTCATGTACCTCGGCTTTGCCATGCATAAGATCGCTCGCATGGAGGACGACGACTACCTGCCGAGGAGCAGGAAGAGAATGCCAATAGTAAGCCGCGGTGCCAACCGGGACTATGAAGAAGCGGAGGACAATGGTGAGGAGGACCCCATGATCCTGGAGGAGATTGAGCCAGATAAGGAGAAGGAAGTGGCGGTGAAGCCCAGCAAGAAGCACGATGGGCGCCGTCGCATCAAGCGTGACGGCCTGATGAAGGTCTATGTGTTCCAGCTGCTGTCCCGTGCCATCTTTGAAGCCTCGTTCCTGTTCGGGCAGTACGTACTGTACGGTGTGGAGGTGGTCCCGTCCTACGTATGCACACGCTCTCCTTGCCCGCACACCGTGGATTGCTTCGTCTCGCGCCCCACAGAGAAAACCATCTTCCTGCTCATCATGTATGGCGTCAGCGCTCTGTGTCTGCTCTTTACCTTGCTGGAGATCCTCCACCTCGGCATCAGTGGTGTCCGAGACTGCTTCTGCACGCCCAGGCCCGCCACCCCCCGTCTCCCAGCTCTGTCCAGCCAAAGGTCCTCCATCTGCCGCCAGCCATCCGCACCTCCCGGCTACAACACGGCTCTGAAGAAGGACCCGTCGGGGAAAATGGGCTTCAGGGACAACCTGGGAGACTCGGGCCGTGAGTCGTTCGGGGACGAGGTGTCATCGCGGGAGCTGGAGAGGCTGCGGAGACACCTGAAGCTGGCTCAGCAGCACCTGGACTTGGCTTACCAGAACGGGGAGAGCAGTCCTTCACGCAGCAGCAGCCCAGAGTCCAACGGCACTGCAGTGGAGCAGAACAGGCTAAACTTTGCCCAGGAGAAGCAGAGCAGTACATGTGAAAAAGGTAAGGCATCCAACCCTTTTCCTCCTAAGAGAAACAACCATACGTTTGTATTTTTCTATCTTTTCTGTAGCTTTGATCACAACAAAAAGCTTTACCAACACTGGCTCTGTATCTCTGTTCACAGGTCTCCGTGCATAGGTTTTTATCAGCCCAGCTGACATTCTAGACTGAAATTCCCATCAGTGAGAGGACATAAGGGAATCAAAGTGTGTGAGAGTGAGACTTTTTGCTTGAGGTGGATGAAGTCAACCCAAGCCTTCCAGTGTTACGGCCAGCCACGGTCGAGCATCGAGTCAAAGGAGGAGAGCGGTCGTCTCACCCCAGCAATAATTGGGACGCCTGTCTGAAGATCCAAAGTGCTTACAAACTTCCGTCAGAAAGAATGGTCAAGGTTACCATGTACTTCCCCCTCAGGGCAGCTATTCTATTTTGAATATTTTAATGTTTTCATTACAAGACTTAAAAGCTATTTGTCATACTCTAAAGAGTTTGTCCCATTGGAAGTTCACAGTGAATGCATCTCAAGTTTGCCTTAGACCTAAACTGGAACTCTGTTTTCTGGCATTATTTGTAGGTATGGCCAAGCCAGTTGTTGTGGAAAAAAACATGTTTAAACTGTAAGATTTGTGTATGTCGAGTGAGTGAGCTGCAATGAAATGTCAATGGACAAGACACCACTCATAAAAGCAAGGTACTGGAACTATTGGCATGCTAATGAAGACTTTTTTTTTAAGGAGTAATTTTTCATACAAAGGTTTCTCTCAAGTGTGTCGCTTTTTCTTTATTTCTCTTTATTATTTTGACAATGCACCAGTCAACATTCCCAAGCTTGGTTGCTTTGATGGCAACTGGAACACACTTTGGGTGCCTCTGTCCAAAGGAATGAACAAACCTGGGTAATGCTTGAAACACATGAACGCTTGATATTGTCCTGTATTGTTTAAAGCGTGTATTTGATACTGTTCTTTATTTTTGTATTGTGATATTGAGAAGAGGCTTTTGTCACTGTGGCAGATTATTATTTTATAGGAATGACATTCATTGCTGTCTTAGTTCCCTGAAGCTGAACCATGGACAGGTGCATTCTGAAAGGATTTAGTACGATTGAGTTCAAAAGCAAAAACAATTTTTGGAACCTTCGGCTTATTTTATTATTTACTCATCGTCTCCGACCTGCAAACATTCCCTTATTCCTTACACAGGTAGATTGAATCATATGTCTGGTGTAATACAGAACATTTTCATGTATTCCGCTTGAAGTGCAGATTTGTGGATACACTGTTCCGGAGCCTGAATGAGGGTTGTAAAACAATGTAACCATTTCAATGTGAATTCAATGCCTTGATGCTCTAAGATGCCATCATTTTGTATTCTGAATCATACCCACAGTGCCAACTTGTTGTCATCTCAAGTTATTTTTGAACAATGCTTTTTGTACTTTTTATACTTTTTGTATTGATAGTACTTTTTGGTTAGTTTTTTTTAAAATAAATTTTTGCAACAAAAGTTTTGCCAAGTGGTTTCATAACTGTCCAATTCCTGTAAGATTGTTATTTTGTTTATGTTTAAGTAACATCACCTGATTTGATGGTAGCAACTAGGGATGGGAATGATTAATCAAATATGAGTTGTGAATATTTGTATTGTAATTGGGGGGTTTTTTTATGGGAGGGGTGCCTAAGTTGATCACATATTATCAAATGGATTAATTAAATGTATATGACAGTGCCATTTTAAATATCTTATTTAACTTATACTTATCAATAGAAAAGGTTTGGTCGCCCCCAAGTTTACGCTTGGAGCGTGGGGACAACCAGGAGCCCCAGGTTAGCCGACCTGAGGGGCCTGGAGCTAGAATATGGTACAAGGAGGTCTGCAACATAGGAGGGGCCCTGCCCATTTAGGGCTTTATACAAAAATAAGATTAGTTTAAAGTAAATTCGGAGCCGTACTGGCAGCCAGTGGAGAGAGGCCAGAATGGGGGTAATATGGACCCTCTTCCGGCTACCTGTGAGGAGTCTGGCTGCGGCATTCTGGACCAGTTGCAGGCGGGACAAGGATGACTGAAAGATCCCAGTATACTGACACACACCTTATTTTTTTACAAGGGTTTGAATAAACAAAATCAGCTTGTATTAAGCAAAAGTAAAGGTTTGAGACCAGAATAGTTTAAAATTGTAGTATTATTTTACTAACCCTTTACTTGAAAGGCTGAAGTTGTGTTGCCTGAAAAACTTTAACTGGTTTAGCTCATCTGTTACTTATCAGGTTTTAAAATCAACTGCATGTTTGTTCAAACTTAAAGCATATGTGTAGTTAAATTTATATTTGCAGTGATAGTTAATATAACAAAACGTATGTTTAACGTGTTTATCTTGGACAATGGAACTAAGCTTTCAGATGATTGACTTTACTGTGCATGAACAATTAATATTTACTGATAGAACATTTGAAATGCTATTAAAACAATCTGTTAAATAAGCAGTGGGAATAAGTCATACAATAAATTAGGATCAAAGTGCGCATGCTTTTAATTTGGGAGCAAAATTGGATTAGTTTTTTTTGGACAATACAATATTGTTAGCATTAAAGGACTGTCAAATATTTGAGAGGTTCTGATTCCTGAAACCAGTGTGCAGATGAACCTCTGACGACCTCTAAAGGCTGATTTTAACCTCAGCTTTTAATGAAAGAGCTGCAACCCCATAAGTTCACTTTTATAACATAAATGCAATACATGTAATTATTGAGTAATGTACAAAGTTACTCCAGTATTTCAACATGGTGCAATATCTATTTTTCCTACACTTTTTTATTGTTCAAGAATTTATGGAACGTCTATTAACTTTTTTCTTGATGCATTTGAAAGAAAGTAATGACATTTGTCACCCAATTCATTTATTAAGTGTGGTTCACATGGCATGGTACACCTAGATCAGTAAAGCAGTCAATAATGTGACAAAACAACAAAAATGTATGAACAGGGAATTATGAGTAGCAGTAACATATTGAAGATGGTGGAAGATAAATGAATTCTGCTGCAGGAAAAACATTTATATTTTTGACAGCCTGCAATGAATACACATATTTAATCAACAACTTTATAAATGTCAAAGAAGTTATACATGAAAATGCTGCACAGAAAGGTCACAGTTCTACAGATTTGCGTTTAGAATTTCTGTTTCATTTTTATAGTTGAAATGTTCTGCTTTTGGTGGGACCTTTTTTGTGCCTTAAAGAGGCAAACAGATAAACAAATAGCTCCAAACGCTGCAACAATAATTAGAGCAAACGTTGTGGCAAGTCCGGTCTCAGCATCACTTGTTGAGAGCTTCATACCCAGAAAGTCCACTGTGTTGAAAGAGGGATCAGGGGTGATCGGCGCACTTGTTGCTGTAGAAAGGAGATTATCATATTATAATATCATAACCGTTTCTGTTTTTTTGTAAATGTGAGAAAATAAGACATTTCTAGCCAATTCTTAAGCTCTTCGATCACTGACTCCTGTTTTCTATAAAGTTCTTTGACACATTAAAAGGAAAAAACACGTTAAGACAGTTAATTTAACTTTCACAAGTGTCAGTTAAATCAGAAACTACAAAAAGTAACTGCTTAAATTAAGCACAGTAACAGAGCGTTTCAATTTGGTTACCATACTTAGAACACTGCCATGTCGCCCTTTGTTACCACTTGTGCAGTGAGAATTTCCACTTGTAGTGTTGTCTCAAAATGCAAGAAGCAGCTTTTCCCCCCATAGACTGTATATATAAATGGACGTAGGGTCCTTGACGTCACCCATAGGATTCTGCAGTTGCCGAGAAGCCCTTAGTTGGCGTTGTCGGCCACTAACGGCTTGACAGTGACGTCAGAGTTCAACTCCCGCCTTCTCCAGCCTGCTCCAAATAAGGGCAAAGAGGCGGAGCCGAGGCGGGACCTGCTGCCACCGAGCTGAAAGTTCCAGAGCTAGCTGAAGCTACCAAGCTAAGCTAACATGCTCCCCATCTCCACACTGCCGTGGCATTTTACGTTTCTAAGGTAAGCGGACATGAAACTATTCAGCAAAACTATAAATAATAATCTAAGTTATTGAGTTTTTAGCATAATACTTCAGAATCTTAAAATCCCTTAACGTTTGTATGCAATTGTGCTAAATTCAACACTGGAATCAAGCAAATATTATGTTTGCATGACATTAGTTATTTATATTTTGAAATCACTTAATTATACGTTTAATACATTTAAGTCAAGCTAAGGTACATGTGATGGTAGCTAGTTAGTGCTCTTACCTGTGAGGCCTCCTCCAAACAGCATAATAACCAGACTGTATCATTAAAACTAAGTATCAGTTCTAGATCCTTGACTTTAGACAAACAATTCAAAAGACAGCATGTATTTAAAGACCAATCTTTATTTGAATGTGCCTCTTAACCTGATATATTAGTTATACAGTAATAGTACTGACAATCTAAAAAAACTGAGCAACTCAAAAGTCAACTTTATGTTTCTTATTGTCTAAAGCATTTTGTTATTTTCATTTTCCCCCTCTCATATTCAGTGTGGACGGATTGAGACAGCGTGGTGTCCAGAAAGCTGCAGAGACTTCAGGGAGAAACCTCCGTGTGATGGACGTCCTGTCTGTTTGTTTGGCCCGGAGAGGACTGAGGGTCTTTCCTCTGCAAGGAGGACCTGGTCTGATGGAGGAGCCCATGCTGGGCAAAGCTGATACCAACTGCACAGGCCTAGTCTGTCACTTTATTTGACTAAATGTGTTTACTTT